TTTTTTTTTTTTTTTTTTTTTTTTTTTTTTTTTTTTTTTTTTTTTTTTTTTTTTGACAAAATAATAAAATTCTCAGAAAAATAGATAGAATTTGGATTAAATCTTTATTAAATAATCATAGAAGAATTAAAACCATATCTGTTTCTTTAATTTCTTTTTCTTTTAGAAAAAGTGTCTTTTAATTTAATTATTATTATTTTCACTTATCGAAATTGATTTTGCCTCGAATTCATAAAATCCAAATCAATATAATTATATAAAGATTTTGAGTGGTTAAAACCCCGATGGAAGAATAATACCTTGAGATGAAAATTAATGGCTAAAAGCTGCCATAAAAATACATAAAAGAATACCATATCCAACAAATTTAAGGTAACATAAAATCTTTGTCGTGAGACAAAATAAATCATTAACTTTCTCAAAAAAAAAAAAAAAACTCTTTTCGATGAACGTATAGCTTGACGTTTTAAGTCATACGAGAATCGTACCAATATTTAAGATGATAATTGAAGTCGAAAAAACGCTATATATCGATAAATTTTATAAAAAAATAATTAAAATTTATAATTATTCGAGTAAATAATCGTAATGATGATGTTGTAGATGTGGGAGATAATTTGGTAGAAATGATTAAGACATAATTTCTTAGTCAAAGATTGTTTGCTTCTTGGCTCCACATTGCCTAAAGGAAACCTCCAAACCACATGCTCTAGCTCCATCCCCCTTACTCTCTCTTATCCACTTCCTTTGATTTCTCTCAAATTTTAGTAAAGTTATATAGCTCTCTTTCTCGCTTTCAATATATGTAGTCTCGTTAGCGGAAGTCGTAGTCGAAAACGAAAAGCCTTTACGTGATTGATTGATATAGTTCATCGAATTTATGACGAAACGAGATACTCGTCAATATACCCTAAGTTTGATGGATCTGATGTGCATTCGTTCTTACGGGTTAAAAGTTCAAACCCACTTCCACTTTCACTTTAATGAGTCGGATATGTATTTGTCTTCTCTTTTACACGTTACCCATTTGTTACAAATTCAAAACACGTGCGTAATAGGGGCAGATCCTCGTTAGGGTTCTTAAGATTAGGGTTTGTCTTCGAAGTTATATTAACTTTTAGGAGATTCAAATTCTCTCTTTAAATTCATTTCAACGAAAATAGTTTGATTCGGTATTAGTATAAGAAAAAACGAGTACTAAAAATGGTGAAGGAGTATCTAAGTTACGTATGATTGAGCACATATGGAAGAACGTGAGGGGTTATAACCTAGAAAAAAACACACAAATTGGAATCTCTCTCTAATTTTCTCTCTTTTTTTGGCCTTTGTTTCTCCCATAGATGAGATGAGAGATAAAGCTAAAAGAACCAAAGGACAGGATAAAGCTAAAGCTGCCATGGAAACAGAGAGAACATCTTCACGCCTATGCATGTGCCCATCAACCCACAAACAATAACTTAAAAGACCCTTCCTAACTTAGCTTGGAATTCCGGGCTCGGTTCTTTTCTTTTCTTTTCTTTTCTCTTCCTCGTTCGATTTTCGGTGACTTATTTATCACTATAAAACAATCCACAAAGCACAAACAAAAAACGAATCCTACGTTCTCTTATTCAAGTTGGTTTTTCTCGATCTTTGTTCTTGTATTATGATATTAGGTTATATCGAGAGGACGAAAGTAAAAAGAGTAAAAACATATTCGAAGGAAAGCAAGATTCCATTCAAAAAAGAATAAAAATCTATAAGAACTAAATGATGGGAAATACTGACATCATAACCATGATGCTAAATTCCAACCCCCTTTTACTTTGGATTCACTTTTGTTTAAATACACAAACATTACAATCAACACCAAAAGCTTAAGTGGTCAAGAGAAGGGCTTCTCCCTTTTTCTACTTTTGACCACCCCTTTTGAACCAAAAAAAAAACATCCTAAAATGCCCCAAATTCAATCCGATACGATTCAGATGTGTATAAAACATGATTTAGCTCGATTCAAGATTGATATTCAAAGGATCTTTAACCCATGTTGATCGATTAAGCTATGCTCGGAGTAATGGAAATAAGAGCAATGGATGATCATTCATCATTCATGTA